TTAATTATAAATTAAACTAATTTTTTAATTAATTAATAAATTTATATTATTAATTAATTTTTTTACTTTTTAACCTTTCTTAGTTTTTTTTTTAATTAACCTATTGGGTTGGGTCGGGTCGGGTCAACCCAACCCACAAACATAATCCGAGTGAGAAAATAGGCAAAGAAAAGATTAAAACATGCAGACAAAACCAGAAAACTAGAGTTCATGTCATTTCCAGCAGAAATATACATTCATCCAACATGCAAAAAAACAGATCAAACGTCTAACACTAAAGGGAATCTGGAAAGAAACGAAATGGAACTTAAGGCTAACTATTCAGCTGTTCAACCAAAACAAACAAAGAAAAACAGACATACATCCAATTGATTTCAGATCCATGAAATTAAAAAGAAAATGCTTGATTTCATTCACGATATCAACCTCAAATACAAATGCAGTACATCAACACAAAGAAATTAAAACAACCATGGCGAAAATTTTGGAAGAAAAACAGATCAGGATCGGAAGGAGGGATCCCACCCACGGGATGAAGCTCCAACCTTTCCTTCACCACCCTCCCCCAAAACCTCCTCTGTTCAAAGAAATTACCTACAAAAGTAGACCCAAATCTTTTCCCAAATCACCGGCTCCCTCTAGCAAAATTCCTCTCCTTTTCTGCCGCCGTTCTCAACACCCAGACTCGAAAACAAAAGACCTCCTTCAGCTCCAAAGGGAACCCGAAAATCAACCAGGAAAATCCCCTTCTATTGCTCTCAAAGCTCAGCCGAAACTCCCCAACAAAACAGACCCAAAATCAACCAACCATCCCCAAAAACGGACTCCAAAATCAACCCAAAGCAAACTCCCCCAGATCAACCACAACCAATCTCCCAGCAACAGACCCGAAGTCAACCCCCAAAAAACCCCCCCTTCAATCTGATCTTTCTCTATATATATACCCGAATAAAAGATAAAAATAAAGATAAAAATAATAAAAAAAAGCCTTGCTCTGTCAATCAATAATAATGCTAATTTGTCTGGAGCTGCTGTAGCGTGCAGAGGCAAAGCAACAGGGGTGCAGCGAGGCTCGGTGCAGGGTCATGATGCTGGCACAGAGTGCAGGCGTGCAAGCAACGTGGGTTCGGCGCAGCAGGCGGCAAGGGGATCTGGTGCAGCAGAGGATCCGGCTTTTTGGCAGA